GAACTCTCTTCATTCAATCATCCAGCAGGCTTTCTCTGCCAAACTTATATATAAAAAAGAGGGCGTCCCGAACGCACTAGGAAATTCATGATCATTCGAAAAACTCATCACGTGTTACCAGAATCACGTAACTTCCGCTGTCGTAACAGTACTGATATCATTATGCTTATCTTGGACCCACCCTCTTCAGACATGTACATGTATAAGTAGACATATTTATTTTACTATACTGCATGGCGTGTATGTACTGAAAACTTTATATTTATCCAATTTAAACATAAACGTGGTTATTTTTCTCTTGAAATAACATGCAAACAACGTATTACACTGATAAAGATGAAATTCAAACTAATAATGAAAAATACGGTTATGACATAGTACTTAATTACTAGTGTGACATAAGAAAAGTTTGAAAAGTAGAGCTTTTCCATGAACAACGTATTTTTATATCGAGAAGTAGAAAAAAGTAAAAATGTTTTTTTTAAGCTCCAGAAAGTAATTTGGAACACAAATCTTAAAAATTATTCTCTGTTCTAAAATCCTCCCCAGACTCACCAGTGGCATTGTTTAACAATAAGAATAAGATTATGGTTGATTTTTCGTCTTTAAGTTATCCGAAAAAACGATGAAGCACGTCATCAGTATGATAGCCACGTGACTCAACAATAAAACGGACAATAGCTCGCTAACGAGCAAATGTCCAAGAGTCATTAAAATGTTTTTTTCTTTCCATTCATTTCAAATGTGATTAGTAAAATGTTTTTAAAGCAGTAACATTTATTTCGTTATGCAACAGCAGAAAAAGTTCAGATAAAAGGTTCTATTTTTATTATAAAAGTTTGTATTCAAGTAGCATCTTATTGAAATGCAGAAAAAGATATAATTTTTGCCATTAATTCAGATCAAATTTTGCATAGTCAAATAAGATGATTATAAAAAGCCATTTAGCATTTTGACCACTTACTATAAGAGTATTTCATGTAGATAATGTTTCTCTTTGAATATGTTGACTATTTACTATATCTTTTCAACAAAAAAAAAAAAAAAAAAGGAACTTACGAGTGAATAATAATAAACTAAACGGCAAAATTTCCTCATCGTCTACCATCAAGCCAAATTCGGAGTTCTGAGTGTCAGATAAACATCTTCATGGCGGATAAAATATCTTAACAATACAAGATGAAGAGT